ATAGTGTACTAAGGACATTGATTCGTTGTCATTTCTTTAATTGAATATTAATTTCGGATATTTTAATTTTGGCGGATATCGAATATTCTCACGGAAATTCAAATTAGCGGAAAACTACACGATTATCAAGGGTACTTTCAACGAACTAGATTATGATAATTATTATTAAAAAGAAAACAACAGTCAGGACTACGTAACGTCTAATACAATGATGCCTTGTCAATTTTCGTCTATTATATAGTATGGCATACCTGGATCAACTTCTTATTTCATCCTATCTTTGTATTTACTTTAGAAGGTAGCTAACTTTCTGTAATTTCAATTCTTTAATTTTTTTTTTTTCATTTTATTTTTTAATAACAAAAAGCAAATGATCTGCAATCCCACAAATATTTATTAATATTAAATAAAAATAAAAAACGTGTTATCAAAAGTGTTTATATACATGGAATCAAAAACGCATCACTCACTCACATCCATTACATATGTTTTATACGCAATCAAAATGGACCGTGCCTATTCCGTATGTTTTATGCGGAAAACACAAAAATGTACCCTTTCAGTATCAGCCACAGGACATGTCACACAACTAATACTAGATGACCCTTTTCTAGTATACCATTTAAGGCTTGTGTGCTAGACATATGGCTCATCATTGAGTGACGACGACAGATTCACATATGCTTCATCATTTCGTAAGGGGTCACATCTAAACCCCCCACACAATTCCTACCATATAAATCGAGAGCCTTCTGAAGCTCATGTAAATAAAAGACAAAACGTATGCTTTTTTGAGACCCAAACCCGAAGCGAAGCGGAGGATTGCGCATCTTTTCCATGCATTCTAAACATCTTTTGTTAACGATGTGAGCTAATTTGAGGCAAAGGTATTAATATAATAATAATAATAATAATAATAATAATAATAACAACAACGATAGTAGTAATAATAATACCGGCAAGAGCTTTTACAAATTCTTATTCGAATAAACTTTCAATGTAATTCGAATACTCAAATTCATAATGAATAAAATAAATAATTTGAATAAACCTTAAGTACCATCTGAGAAGTTCTTTAATCAACTGGGATTTATTTACAACAAAGAAAAAGAAAGAGAAATAGACTTGGTAAAAATAACCGATTTTTAGTGAATCCATAAAAAGTATGTTATTTGTTTAGTATATTATTTGATAAAAATTTCTTAGCCGATAAAGTTTTCTACGATTGATACCACTAATTAATATAGGTGATGAAGAACTTTGAAAATTGAGGTTTCTGTTGTAATTTCAGCAGTTGAAAATATTGAAGATTTGAATATGGTAATCAGAATTTGATGTGGAAACAATCAATCATAGAAAATGCAATGTCAAGTAGGACGAATAATAATATTGATTGAATTATAAAAGTTTTTTTATTTTCATTTTAATTTCGATAGAAAAGAAAATGATAAAATTCACGATAATTTCTTTTTGATCTTCATATTTGACTGTACCACAATAAAAATAATCTTTTTTTTTTAAAAAAAAAAAATAAAAAAACATACTGATATATTTATTATTATATATATCTTATCTACACAAAGGTTGGTTTTCTCATTCTTTTAATTCTAAATAGGTACATTAATTTAACCAATCAGCAGAAATGATAAAATTAAAATAAGATTCTTTCTTATTACTTTGATATAGATGTCTGGTAATTGTGGTGCTTCTGTAAAGGACGTTAGTCCTCATGAATTTGTAAAAGCATACGCAGATTTTTTAAAAAAATCAGGGAAATTAGAAATACCTAAATGGGTAGATTTAGTAAAAACTGGTCCATATAAAGAGTTGGCACCCTATGATCCAGATTGGTTTTATATTAGAGCTGGTAAAGAGGTTTATTATCAATTAACTTATAGTTGGCTAGCACTCACTAATTCTTAAATTTAAAATGAATGGATTTCAATTGTGAATTTATTAGCTTCTGTTGCTCGTCATATTTATTTACGCTCCAATGTTGGTGTTGGTGCATTGAAAAAACTTCATGGTGGTCGTAAACGTAGAGGTACTCGTCCCTCTCATCATGCAGATTCATCAGGAGCTGTTGCTCGCAAAGTTCTTCAATCTTTGGAAAAAATTAAAATTTTGGAGAAAGATCCTAAAAAAGGGTGATTTGTTTATAATTATTAATTAATTTTTTTATTGATTTATTATTTTTAAAAGAGTAAAAAAAAATTTACATATTTCTTTTTTGTTGTAAATAAAATAGTGGTCGAAAAATTACACGGGATGGACAACGTGATCTTGATCGTATTGCTCAAGCTTGTCTTAGAAAAGAAGAGGAGGAAGAAGAAGAAAAAGTAGAAGCTGGAAATGATTAATATAAATGATAATGTTTAATTAATTAATTTTATTTGCCTTCAAATAATCATAATAATATTAACCAACAAACAATCATTATTGATCTTTAATCAATCGATTTTTTATTGTGTAAAATTATACAGCGTATTCTTGTCTTTCATTCTAAAAAAAAATCTAGAATAAATAAATAATTTTTTTATAATTCTTAATATTTAAACTATTAATTAATATAATTGTTTGTTTCGTTAAACTTCACCAACATAAGAATTATTTATTAACTTTTAAAATTTCACCATTGATTTCAGATCACTTTGGACTACTTAGTATCATGATCGTCAACTCCGAGTACATAAAAATTATATTTAAAAGAAGATGACATTATTTTTATTACTTTTGTTTGCAATTCGACGTCTACATAATGAATGTAAAGTCAAAACTTGATTTTAAGGCCGAAATTATTTATTAACAACTTGCTTCAAAAAATTTTCTTAGAGCAGATATATACATAAAAAATGTCACACGACTAGTAGTAGTAGTATTTGATCGTTATCAGAGTAGTATATTTTTGGTTATTTGCTTTAGTAAGAAAGCAAAGGCTCGGTAACGTTGATTAACCAATATAGTGTTAACGACGGGTGTTAAAGTTTTTTTTTTGCTTAGTAAAGAAGCAAAGGGTAAGTTTTGTTTATGTAAACGTAAGGTGTTAAGTTAAAACGGACTGTATAAAGTGTTATCGATTAACCAAATATAAAGTGCAGACATTAACCAAAATCACTATCACATCTTGTGTTAAAATATTTGTTGTGAACGTATTGCTGTCAAAAGAAAAGTAATTTAAATCAACCAAGTTTTTAAACGACCAATGAAAAGTTAAAAAGGAACTTTAGAATAACCTTTGTCGCTTTCTAAAGGGCCGCATTTATTTATTGTAAAGCTTTCTAAGCGCAAGAAAGAGGCAGTAAGCAGAAAATTGTCATAAATCAATTGATGAGCACTGGATGTAAAGCTTGCAATTAATCGACGAGTGTTAATATTAGCCATAAAGTTAATTCGAATTCTACCACAAAACATAAAACAATCGGAATTAACCTTACGATATATATATATATTAATGAATATCAATTACTAATTCATGACTTCATAATTTAAGATATCTTCAACATTGGCGATATATAAATAACAACATAATTTAAAATATGATGATTCTAACGGTGGCTGTTTTATGTCTATAAGTCTGTAAGTTCGATATTGATCAAAAAATGTAATTATTGTCAAAAATTCAAGACTATATGAAATCGGCAGAGCTTATCTCAATATTGGGAGAAATACATCACTGTATTATGTAAAACAACAACTTACAAATTTAAACTTGAACATCCACAAGGCCAAGATGTTATTTTATTTACAAGTATATATATACAAGACAAGCAAAAGCAGACGATTCTGGTGATGATTTAGTAGATGATTTAGGTAAAAAAATTCATTTTCATATTATATATACACTCAAAATTCTACTATTCTGTGACCAATCTCAATTATGCATTAATGTTGAAAATTTGAACAATTCAATGATATCACCTACACCAAAGACAGTTAGTTATCAAAATATGTATTTCTTTCTGAATATCTAGCTATGTAAATCTATATTTTCCTTGTTTCAACTAACAATACTTGGATATATATATTCAGAATAGTTTGACAATATTTAAAAATTTTTATACGCATTATAGAATTTTTTTCATAACTTACTATATACACTAATTGAATTTTATTAAATAATTGAATATATATTGTCATAAAATATTTTTTTGACATTAATCACATACTCTAAATTACAAATAACATTTTTTAAATGCGAGGTAAATATAATTTACACAATTTTTTCGCACTAGATTCATAAACAGGAAGGATTGATTCATTAACCCCCACCCAAGACTCAAGATTCAAGCATTGATTTGGCATAAGCACAAGTTGTCCACTTATATCCGTAGCCATTGCAGGTTGTACCTCTATAACAATTCCACATAGTATCCTTTTTTGGCTTCCCAATTGCCAATGTAATTGATACCACATCGTGTTCTTTTTGATGTCAACAACGCTCAATCCTATCCCATTTGTAACAGCTCGTGGATCATATAAACATCCAATCCATCACAATATGCAACAGCTTGTGAGTTATATTTTATTTAAATCAGCCTTTTGTTCTTTCCATATTGTTGTACCTCCCCTTGATGCCAGGCTTAAAGGAAATCTTGGTGATAAACGTGAATAATATGGTTGATGGCTAGCTACTGACAAATGAATATATCTGACCTCGTTGTCCCTCATGAATAGAATCATATAAAGAAATATTAGGACCCCATTCAGTGATAAATTCTTCTCTGTTAACTTTTTTAACAGCTTTTGGTTGGCTATGATAATCACACACATGTACTTTAAAGAATGAAACAATATAACGAACATAATTTGAATCCATTGATTCCAACCCGTTCATGTTCTGCAAATTTTTTTTTTGAGCCAGTTTTTTTCCTTTTTCATTACATGTGACGTATACCCCATCTTATTCACATTCAATTGCGAAAGTATATCCACCATCTGGAGTGAGACTATTTAATAAAGCGAATAGCTCAAGTTTTCCGATCCCAAGTTAGAATCCAATGAGTTAATCTCCCGATAATTTCAAATATACGGAACTTGTTGCATTCAATTCTGATGTTTTTCCATCAAGTTTTCCAAGAATCCATGCGCCATAAATTTTAAGCCTGTGATCTATTTTTATTTAGATTTCAATATAGCTCGTTGTAATGGTAGGTCAATACACGCATGAATCTTATACCGATCATCAGTCAACTCGAGTGAAAACTTTGGGTTAGTCATAAATTTCATATTAGATGATGATAGCATTGACGATGTTGATGACAATTTTGATGTATGAGAGGAAGATATTGATGACAAAGATAAAGAAGTTGTTAGTTGCAATGAAGAAGATAGTGATGTTGATAAAGTGTCGTCATCATTAATTATGGCTGATACACACAAAGAACAATAGGCCATGATGGCGAAACATCATAAAAAAAAGAATCCAAAAAAAGATTAGCGAATCTTCTACAATTTATTTAATAATAGATTTGTGTGCATGGTTTATTTCTCTTTCATATCTATACCTTAATTGATCAAGTACTTTGTCAGATGTAAACAGTCATGAAATAAAATCTAACCGTGCTGGCTATTTTCATACTATCATTTATAATGATTTAATACCCATAGTTCATCTATAAGCATATGGTTAGCATCAAATTCAATTAAACGTGATAATGCATCACTTGACCCCACGTTGTTGGCTTGAAAACGCTTTGAACAAGTGAATTTGTATTCAGTAGCATTCGAGGAGGTATTTCAATATTTAATAATTTTCGTTCCGTAAATCTCAATCTCAATGAGCGATACCTCCAATGGCGTTTCTGAGTACAGATGACGATAAATCGAATAAGCTAGTTTGCTTACTTTTCAAAGAATAAATTGTAAATATTAATATTAATAATATATACACCCTGTCTGTTCAAATATAATATACCCGAGTCACTAATTCTTTAATAAAATCCATATCTTAAAAATAAATAAATATTTAGTAATAAAGAAATGTGCTTAAAATCTTAAAATAGAAAAGGGCACAAAACTTTCTATATATATCAATCACAACTTAATCTTCTATTTGCTTTATCCATAATTTCATATGACGTTAAATTGCTTTACCTGATTGGATATGGCCTGTAATAAAAATTTATACCCAAAATAGTTACACCACTTTATCAAAAATCTTTACTCAAATTTTCGTGTAACTTCAGTCAATAATAATAGTCTGGGGTCTATGTAATTAATATTAAATGCTCGCACGTTAAGTAATTTTCTGCAGATAATTTCTAAACTTGTAGAAGTAACTAATATTAAAAAAAACATGTGTTCCAAAAAATTAAAGTATATAGTAAATAGCGATCTAATCTTATCATTAAGACTGCGGCCAGATATTTGGTAATTATACTGAATTTTTTTAACACTATCTTATTCGTTCGTACATTTTGTTTTTTTTTTCATATAAATAAAAAAGTATCAATCTTTTTTTCACTATTTTGAATATGTATGAATTATCTTTTTATGACTCGTTCGTTCGTTATATTTATTTATTAATTTACTAAAAAAAAAAATTTCCTTATAATAAGTAAGATTTTTGATCAAAATTAAAAAATTTAGAATAAAAAAAAATGTCATCAGTTCTATTACCAAATTTAATCACTAACCAAGAAAATTCAGAATGGATCGTACAAAAATTTGGAGGAACTAGTGTTGGAAAGTTTTTAGAAGTTATTGCAGAAAAAATTGTAAAGTATGTTGACCATTAAAATTTAAAACGATAATTAACAATTTAATATTTTAATAAATTTTTCTTTTAATAAAAAGAATTTCTTTAAAATCAAATCGAATTGCCATAGTATGTTCAGCTAGAAGCGGAGAAACAAAAGCCAAAGGTACAACAAACAGGTAAATAAATTAAAAAACTTTATTAATAAAAAATTTTCAAAAAACTAAACCTGAAAAATATTTAAAAAAGGCTTTTACAAGCAGCGGAACAAACTCATCTACGAGATTCCAAAAAATATATTGATTTAGTTGATGAAATAAAAAAAGATCATATTGAAGCATCAAGAGATTTAATAAAAAATCCAGAAATTTTAAAGGATTTGGAAGAATGTTTAGAAAAAGATTGTGATAAATTAAAAAGTTTTTTGGAAGCTGTTCAAGTAATTATTTATATAATCGTATATAACATGTTTTTACTGATGAATATATGATTTTTTTACTAATGAATAACGATAATGATATTAATGATATGTAATGTAGATAATTGAAGAAATATCATCACGTTCTAAAGATAATATTATTGGTGTAGGTGAAAAATTATCATGTCGTGTTGTTACTGCTGTATTAATAGACAAGGTAAAATTAAAGATTTGTGTATATACGTATATATATATATATATATATTTATTTATTTAAAGAATAATACCAATAATACAAATATTATATTATATAGGGAATAGATGCAAAACTAGTTTGCCTAGATAATATTATTGATCATAACGAATTTGATTCAAATAATTTGGATCAAAATTTTTATAATCATTTAGCAAATAGAATTTCAGAAGCTGTTAAAAACATTAGTTGTGGTCGTGTACCTGTTATCACAGGTAATCTTATTGTTTTTCTTAATGATCTTAATAATAAAATAATTTTATTTCCTCCTCGATCTATCTCACATATACTTTCACTTTCATTCTCTCTATATAAAAGGTTATTTTGGTAGAATACCAGGTGGCCTACTTAATAATATAGGACGTGGATATACTGATTTATGTGCAGCATTATTAGCAGTAGGACTTAAAGCAAAAGAGCTTCAGGTATGGAAGGAGGTTGATGGAATATTTACAGCAGATCCACGAAAAATCACAGATGCAAGATTGTTACCGGTAATTTCACCAGAAGAAGCTGCCGAACTTACATATTATGGTTCGGAAGTGATTCATCCATTCACAATGGAACAAGTTATAAAAGCAAAAATACCAATCAGAATCAAGAATGTTATGAAACCTTCAAGTGACGGGACAGTCATTTCGCCTGAAAGTAATGACTTGCTAATTTATCAAGAATTATCGTCCGAAAATAGTTATCAACATGATATCTGGAGAAAACATCCTACGGCCGTGACGATAAAAAATAATATCATTGTTTTAAATATTCATTCAAATCGTAAAACGTTAAGTCATGGATTTTTTGCTCAAATTTTTGCCACATTGGATAAGTATGGCATTGTGGTTGATTTGATTTCTACTAGTGAAGTTCACGTTTCCATGGCGCTCGGTGCTGATATTGTTGAAAGAGATTTAAATAAAGCTATATCTGAATTGAAAAAAATCGGAGAGGTAAATTATTTATTTTTTTAAAAAAATAAAATCTGTACTTTTATAAAATCAATAAAATTGTTTACTAACACGATGGCAATTGGGATGTGAATAGGTTGACATATTGGAAGATATGGCGATATTAAGTTTGGTTGGTAGACAAATGAAAAATATGGTCGGAATAGCAGGTAAAATGTTTACCACGTTAGCCTCCTCTAATGTAAATATTGAAATGATATCACAAGGTGCCTCTGAAATTAATATCTCTTGTGTGATTGATGAGAAGAATGCTGACAGAGCTTTAAAAGAAATACATGAACATCTTTTAAACACCCCTCTTAACTTATTATCTAGCTCCACAACCAGTGTTAGTCACCAAAACTATTTTGAAGAGACGAAAGTCAAACCTAAAACTAAATTAAAAGCTTTTATGTCAAAACTAAATCAAAAGTCAAAAATCAAAATCAAAAATCAAAACTAGTTTCGACTTATGGCGAAACTTTTTGACTTTCGCACGGTTGCGAAACTCTCTAGTTTTGGAAACCAACACTATCCACAACACCTTCTCTTTCTTCTTCTCCATTGCCTCAGTCACTTTCTTTTACATCTTCTTTTTCAGTTTTTAATAATAACAATGACTGTGGTGATAATATTAATATTATTAGTCATGGTATTGGTAATAATAGTACGGATATTATGGATATTAGTATTAGCGGTAGTATTGGCATTAATCTTGGTGGTGGTGTTGATAAATTACTTAAGAAATTAATTTAATATTTGATTTTATATATATATATATATACAATCTTTATATAGAATTTATTAATAATTAATAGAAAATAATTACGAATTTATCAATAATAATTAATAAATAAATTTTTGTTTTGTTTAAAAGTAATCATCAAAATCAGAAGCCACATAATTATAAAAAAAAAAACAAGGTATACATTCTCGAAAGTCGACACCATGTAAATTTTAATGCTTTAGGATCAAGCTCGAGTTCAGAAAATGAATTACTTTTAATAATAAAAATAAAAAAAGACAAACATTAATGTTTTTTTTTAAACACCCGTTAATCTTCTTTACTTGTATCCATATGCACTGATTTTGTTTGATCCCCAAAATTCAGTACGGTATGATCATAACGTTATGAATACTTTATACTAGCAAAAACCATTGGTTTTGAGGTGGGGCCATTAGTTTGACGGGCTGTTGAATAGTAAAATAGTTTTTTTAGCGGAGCAAATAATTTTTTTTTAGGGTTAATTATTATCCCATTGACCAGTTTACACATTAAAAATGCTCATGTTTAACAATAAGGCATGAGGTTTGAAAAAAGGCCCAAAAACCAAATCGGCTGATATGCTTCTACAAATATTCGCGCAGTGGTGCATCAGCTTGTCGCGATCGATTAAGAATATGATAATGCTAATCATCATCGATAAATCAATAAAGTCTAGAAAAATAAACAGCACTAGGGAATAGGAACTAATCCTTTTCCTAAAACGGATCGGAATCTTTCTTGTTCGGCAACTTCTCCATCACATGAACGTGCCACTTACTCAACTCTTTCATCGCATATGAAATATCCGGTTCCAACTTCTAAGGTAATGGTATACTTGGCGGAATTTGTCCTGAAATGCCAACAACAACAAGCGAAAATTTAGTACCAGAGTGTTATATCAAGTAGATGAAATCATATTGGGAAACGGCAGAGTTTAAGCGACCGACTAACCTTAACCAGTTAAAATAGGTTAAAATATAGATCACTCAATTCGCGATTTGTGATAAATTGGAAAGGATCGATATGCATTTTAGTCAGAATCCTGAATCGTTTTTTTAATTGTAGAAACCAAACGTTCATTATTATAGTTTGAAATGTAAACAATTGATTCATAATGAGCAGACATAAGAATTGTACATTATTTAAAAAAGAAATTTAATTAAGTATCATTTTTTGTATATATTTACGAGGCATCATCATAAATTACATAGTTGTGATTTCAGGGTTTTTTATTAATCTCCGCTTAAAATATTCAGTGTGGAGTGTAACGTCATACGTTAGTAATTTTCTCCAGGTAATTTCTAAAAGACTGCATTAGTTACATTGCGCAATTAACTGGCTAGTATTAAGGGATTTTTTTGACCGGTATAGAGAGGGTGGTGTACTGGGTAGACTGTATTGTTTTCTTTGCCCCTGTTAATCAATTATTGCGATTCCATTCCAATATAAATTTTTGCAATATCTCGTGTTATAAAAAATGTATTATTTCCTCTTGAATAATTATTTTATATCAAAGCAAACTCCCACCACGTCGAAAAATTATATATATATAGATATACCTCTCTTAAAAATAATTCTGGAAAATTAACGACATCAATTGTAGAAATACAACAGTTTTCTTTGTTATCCCAAGTGTCTTTAGGCGACCAAGTATTTATACCAAGTAACAATATGCATATTGTCAACTTCAAATCGTTCAGATCTGTTAACTCCTTTAAAATTTTCAAGTTCATCCATTTCAAATACTGATAACATTCTTTCGCTTCAAGTTGTGTCATTCTAATAAACTCATCAATAGGCTTGTCCAATATTTTGAAAATTACGTGATTGACCCCAACTATTGTTTTGTAATTGATTATTATTTCAAAAGAACTTCTTGAAGGACTTCTTAATCCATTCTAGAAGTGTCTTGTAGTTTAAATCAGTATTGTGTATTGCATTCTTTTTAAAAACCATATATATGAATAACACACGTATCTCGAAATACGATCTTCTAAACTTGGTAAATAATAATACATGTGATTAACGCACATTGTTAAAGTTAAATACAATTAATTAAATTTAAATTTTATTATTAATTTTAATTATGTTTACACATGTGCAAATAAATTTATTTTATCATCTTGATTGCAATAAGTTTCATAATCAAAGTTGGGAATTTAGCAAGGAAAATATAAAAATCAACTTATTCAGGAGAAAGATAATCTTTTAAAGTATTAGAATTAAAATAAAAGAAATCGTTAGCAATTTAAAGCAATTGGATTAAAAAATTAAGATTAAGATGAATACGACGAAGCTTCAGAAGAAAATTTATCTTCTTCTAATAATTTCGCTTCTAACATAGCCTTCCATCTTTCCATGAGGGCTTTACTTCTTTCAACTATGTTAAATATGTCATTATTAATTGTTTTTTTGGAAATTTTTCTCATAATAATTCCCAATTTACATTTCTATTGTTATTGATATATATGTTATTAAAATTTGTTAGCAAATATAACAAAGAACTATGAATTAATTTGATGATAAAATTGTATATTATATATATACCTTTAACATTTCGATTGTTATGTATGCATTTTCAATTTCTTTAAATGTATCGTCGACTATTTTCATATTAGCACTCTTTAGTTCAACATTGATATAATTAACAAGTTAAGCATTGCATTTGATTATCAGGCAATATAAATAAATAAAATAAATGAATATGAGAGTAATGAACACTTTTCATACATTTATTTCTCCAAGAAGTACTAATTTTTGTAAACTATGCCTTAAAAGAAGTAATCTTTTGTCATTTCCAACTAAATATTATTAAATTAATTGTAAGAAAAATTTAAATTAATCATTTTTTTAATATTTATTTATTCACCTTACCTTTTTTAGAATCACCTTTTCCTTCTTCCACTTCAACATTTTTATGATTTTTAACGTTATTTCGATTCTCATTAGCAGAGATTTCTTTGTTGGTAAACATTTTGTCAACATGATCCTCTTCACCAGTTTTTTGAATAATCAATGATGATGGTGTGTTAACAACATCAGCAGTAATATTAATGCATCTTTTGGTATTATTTCTTCGTTTATGTTTGTTCTCGACATCAAAGTTATTGATTTCATTCCCTTCTCCTTCACAATCGGATAAACTGCTATGTGCTCTCTTTTTTGATTGTTTGTTAGTACAAGCAGCAATAACAGAATTTCTTTTATTAGATATGTAATGACCCCCTTTTGGTTCTAATACTTCTTCATCAACTTTTTGTTCACAAGTATCCTTTGCTACAGTGACTACATCATGATTTTGATTTGATGATTGATCAACTATTTCCATTCCTTCCATGTTATTATTATCATCTTTATTATCATCTTGCTCTTTTTTATTATTTGACTCTTTAACTTGATTAGATCGGTTTGATTGATCTAATGTTTTCTTCACCACTTCTTTATCCTCCTTATCATCATCATCATCATTATTATTACAAATTGCACCCATCTCAACACTCTCTTCTTTTATTGTAACGTTCGGTTCGGATTGATTTGATTGATCAACTGTTTCTTCCGTTCCCACTTCTTCCTTATTATTATTATGCTCCTTTTTCTCGTTCGACTCTTCAACTTGATTAGATCGGCTCGATTGATCTAACTCTTTTTCCACTTTCCCCTCCTTATTATCATGATTACAAACTGCATCCATCTCATCATCAATTTTACCACTCTCTTCCTTTACTATAACGTTCGATTCAGATTGGTTTGATTGATCAATTGCTTTCATCCCATCTACTTTCTCCTTATTGTTGACAACCTCTTCTTCTTCATCATCAGTATAATCATCATCATCATCATCATCATCATCATCATCATCCGACTCATCATCATCCGACTCATCATCATCCGATTCATCATCTGATTCGTCGTCATCATCATCATCATCATCATCATCATCGCTATAAGACTCTTCACCTCTTTTCTTTTTTATCCTGCTGCTTCTTCTAAGGTTAACTTTTGATTCGTCATTTGCTAATTTTCTTTTATGGGTTTTAGAGTTAGTTATAATTAAATCTGTATTGGTATCATTTGTTCTTTTGTTTTGTTCATCTTGAATTTTGTTTAATGTCACATAATCTAGAGCTTGGTTAATTGCTCTGGCTAATGTGCTTGCTTTCTTAATCTTGGTCAATTTATTGTTTGCTTCCCTTTTTGTAAATTTTTTGAGCTCATCCTCAACTACCCAGCCACTATCATGTATATAAATTATTATAAATCATTAGTTATGTTGAAATATAAATGATTATTATTCTTATTATCATCATTATTATCATTATTATTATCATTATCATTATCATTATCACTATCATTATTATTAAAAATTAATATATGTATATATTTATGAATGTATAATAGAACATACTAATTTGTCGAACCAAAAAATTTTACACAAGTAAAAAAATCTTGGCCCTTGGGTTTTTTATTGATTACATTTTTTGGTAATTCTCTTTCAGCGACAATCTATATATACAACACGTAAAAATTTATATTTCATATATATATCGAGGTTTTTTTAAGAAAATAAATGTTAAAACCTACTACACCAGGCCACCAAGCAAATCCCTTTAATTTTGCGAACACAATCGCTCCTGCTTCAAATGACATTTTTTTCGATTTTTGTTTCAAATGGATCACTTAATTGGGATTGATTATTGATAATTATATAAATTAATATATACAACAGTATATGTATTATTATTTTTTAGGTTATAAAGCTTAATTAATAAAAAATATAATTGAATTTATTTGAAAGAACAAAAAGGAATCATTACACGTATTTATTGTATATAAAAAAAAAATTAATAATTTTCTCATCAACATAACGCCACTTTTAGGGTGAAATTTTGCTCAACGCCACAATTGTACAATCGTCAATTGTTTTTTAGTCCAGATAAGTATTAGATTTTTGTCTTTCGTTAGTCAATTAATTGCCTAGTGTCTTTTCTTTTGCATGCACTTGTCCGGGGATCTTTTAACTTCCCTTAATTTACGTCCTGCTTTCTTGCAAATAAGATTTTTTTTTTACAATTCTGAGTTGTCTTCTTGCAGCGAGCCATTCATTTTCCCCCAAAAAGAAAGTAAACTAAGATCAATCACTATCTAACAACTTTTCAGATTCTTCATTACTAGTATTCTTTGTCCTAATACTAACACTATAAATCCACTATTTCGAAAATTTTCCAATAAAGCCTAAATCCACTTTGTCCCACCTGTTTCCATCGATAGGTTTTTTTTCTCTTTGATAAAACAATAAAGGAAATATATATAAATTTAAAAATATAGGTTATAAACTACTTGTATGGAGGAAATAGAATTTGAAATTCGTTTATTGTATTATTTTTTGTTGGGGCCTGCATAAATTTCAAAAAATATCTACATATTAATTTTTATGACATATCCCAATGGTTCATCCATTTTGGAATATAGTAATAGCGAATTAGGGTTCCTTAACAACATGGTATAACACCGTAATGTTCTTACATGAGTTATGTTTTTATTATATCTACAAAGATAAAAACTAGAAAAATAACGTAATAATAATAGTACATTTATTAGCTACAAGTATTTGGTATATATAACTAAAACTTACAAGTGATTAATCAAGTTTATTGAATTTCTTAAGCAAGCTTTCGAATCTGACATCTTGCCCCATTCTTTAGTAAATCTTTTTTTTTTAACCAAAAGTTAAGGAGAGCGGTGTCCACGTTATTCTCTTAATTTTATTTTGCCTAATAAATGAATAGACATGCTAGGCCTAGCTGATGATGGTGACGATAGTGCCACCAAATTGTTATCAATATGACATGCATATCTACAATAAATTTAAATTTTAAATCGTGTCATTTTTTTTTTTAAACAATTTGAATTAGTAATTTCCTTTTTTTTAAGTTTGATTATGTTTTGATTATTCGGTTCTTAAATAAAAATACAGAAAAAGATGGAAATTTGGGAAATTTGGGAACAAGAAAATTTTAAATTTAAAATTATTTTTTTATTTTTTTTTTTTAATATAAAAAAATCTATCTACATTATTTGAAATATAAAAATATAAAGAACAAAAAAACTTCTAAATTAATTAAATTAAATAATAATAATATTACTAAACTCATCTAATATTTCTAGTTATTTAATAAACAATAATAGCAACACCACGTTGAGCAATCATTTGTTTATCTGAAGGCTTAACATTAGCATCAACAACAAACAATAAATCACTTCGGTCTTCATTAAGATATACTGGAAGACTAACTATATTCTCTGTAGCTTCTGTAGCTTCTGTTTTTAATATCCATCGAATTTGTGAAAGTTCCAATTTAGTCATTGGGTTTGTTATAAGTTGAACTTGTTGATTTTTATATTGTGCACCAGCAAGTTTCATACCTAAAAAAGAAAAAGAACCAATAATTAATATTGTTCTCAATCAATAATTTATGATTATTCTAAAGTTCAATATACTCTTAATTACCTGATACTGCAAATGAATTAGGAGAACCACTAGTGTTTAAATCAACCTCTAATTTCAATTCTTCAAGTGACCACCTATGTTTTTGTGCTACTGCTTGTCTAGTAGCTGTAATGTATGCTTCTGGCATAAAAAGTCCACCAAGCCAAACTTCCAAACTTGTGTAATCGCTTTCTTTAGTTATATTTTCAAGTTGTTGCAAACGACTTTTGAAATCTGCTACCCAATGATTCAATGAAGTGGTTTTTGGTACTTTATATTTACACCAATGATCTGGTATTATGCCTATTTGATTTATTAATTAATAGTTAATATTTATTTATTTATATATCGCACACATAATATATATATATATATATATATATTAAATAACATAAATATAATTAAAAACCAACCTTTTGTTAAATAGTTAAGCAACATACGTAAATGATTTGTTTGTTTTAATTGACCTTCGCAAACCAATTTAATATCACTCAAGTCTTGTTGGATTTTGTTCAATAAGTTGCATCCAATTTGATTCTCACGATCAAAGAATCGGAATAATGGATTCTTGATACTTTCTGCGGTACGTTTCATGGGTGATAGAGTCTAGAAAAATAATTTTTAAAATAAGTAAATAAAAAATATATCTAACCAATAAAAATTTCTAATAATCTTACTTTTGGCAATATCTTCAACCAATTATCAACAGTGGTATATAATGCACGCATCCAAGCTGGTTGTGAATATGCTCCAGATGACTGTGAACTAGCTTCTTGAGCATATACAACTTCATCATCATCAGATAAGCTCTTCATCTTACGAATTTTGACAAGCATTGCATTTGCTATATAAAATCAAACGATAATATTATTATCATCACCTCCAAAAATAATACAATACAATACAATATATTATATATATATACCTTGTGCTGTTGCTAATACTCTTTCAGCATTGCCTTGTAAACCTAACCACGATGGTGGTTCATTATCTGGTAATTTATTAACCCATTCCATAAATTGATCTATTTTAGAACCTTCAGGTATCAATAATTTTTCACTATCATCAGATGATTTTACAAGAGGGAAGCTTAAATCGTATGAAGCTGGTGTGAATAGATTGCCAACAAAATTCTCTAACAACCGTTTATCAAATTCATTGTCAACACGACCACCATAAGCCACTATTGATATTAATGTACGAATAGCATCCCATGGAATTTTATCAGGTGATATGTTTGTTCTGCCTTGAGCAACGCTGTCTAACCATGCATCAATAGTATTAATTGCAAAATCTTGATCTGAGTCATTAAATTCATAAATCTTGGTCCAACCAAGTGGTACATATCGTAGCCTTTCTTGAACAATTGCATGTAACCATGAAAGTAAAAAGTACAAACGAACTCTTTCAGTCGGGCCTTTTGAAATACGACTGTGTGGTATGCTTTTAAGTGATTCTTGAAGATTGGCTTTAATTCCTGGTGGTGGTTCAAACATCAATATACGAGAAAGACGTAACAAATTAACTGGTACTTTTGGATTTGTTTCCATGGTAAGGAACAATCTAAAGTTCCTATGGGCGTTCATACTATGTAATTTTTTCTCTAAATGTCCAAGCCATGATGGTGCAAGATGTACATTCTTCAATAATACCCATTCACCATTTTTAATTGATGTTGTAATTGCTTGATCTGCTAATGCAAAACCTTCTTGTGAACCCATTGCAACCGATTTACATCTAACATGAACTTCTGCTACAAGATTATCTACACGATAACTTGCATCATATCCAGGAACAGAACATAATGAAATAGGTGTAGTAGGATTAACTTCATCTAACACCATTGCTTTAAGATCTAATTCTGCTTGATTAATAAACCCTGCATCAAACACTATTGATACAAATTCACCTACAGCTGATATAAGTCTATCAGGACGGAAACATTTAATTATCAACAATTTTCTTAATTGAATAACAGTTGCTAAATAATTATAAATAAATAAATAAATAAATAAATTATTATAATATAATGATAAAAATTATTTTGAAGAAAATAGAATATCATACCTGGTAATTTAGTATCCCAACAAACAGGAATAAATTTCTCTGCTGGATCTGATTCATAAAAGTCTTTCCAATCATCTTTATTATTTGCAATATCTTTGGTTAAGCCTGAGAAACATGGAAGTGTAGAGAATTCTCTGATACGGCATAATATATCACTGTCAAAAAGTCCTTCCGGAAATCCTAATTCCTTTGCGCTTACTTTAGATCCTGGAACAACATCACCACCGCTTAACAAATAATCATACTCGGCCTCATCCAATTGTTCTTGAGTACCACGAAGTTTAATTTGTGCCAATAAGATTGCAAAAGTGATGTAGTCATCATGTAATAAAGCACGTGAGACTCTACGGAAAGTAGCATTGAAAAGATCTTTCATAAGAATTATTAACCTTTCATTACTATTGGTTACTCCTTTAAGATTTGGGTTTTCATGAAGAACATATTGGAAGATTTCATAAAAGTATTCAAGTGAAAATTGATAGAAATGGTGTAATAAATTCATTTGCTCCATTACAAAGAATACCGAACTGCAAGCTTGTGCAAGTGGTGTGTATTCTGTAGTAACTTGTTCTACTTCTTTCATAATACTTTCAGTCTCTTCAACTTTACGAGTTATTTCTGCTGCTTCTTTTTTCAACGTTTCTAAAGTTTCTAACACTTTACCATCATCCAAAATATTTCCTTTTGACTCATTCAAAGCTTGCAACAAAGATTTTTCAAGATGTCTTAATTTTAATCTGAATTCACCTTGAAGTTTAATCAAATCAGTTCTTTTCTTATCTGTATCAGGTCTTTCAACTTTAAGAACTTGGTTGAGACATTGACTTTGTAAACTGCTGTGTGTTACTGTAAAGTTAACAAAGGTAACCCTACTGCAAACATCTGGTGGGAAGTTCACTGATGGATCACGAGTTGAGAGGAAGAGTGTAAATGATGGTGAAAAGTCAATATCTTGTCCACCTAAACGAATCAATACACGGCCACCAGTACGTCTTAATTCTTTATTTAATACTGCGTTAAGAATAGGATCTAAATGTTCTACATCTTGGATAAGTAATGGATTACCAAAACGAAGAGCACTTTCTAAATTCTTGATAAACGAATCATCCAAGAAACTGGTTACGGTAATCTTCTTTTCTTTAAATTCATTCATTAAGAATGCAGATGCTTGACCTGATGGATCGATTATAAGTGGATATCTGTTAAAACGTTTAAGCATGATAGCATTCTCTGTACAAAGGTCATCTGCTGGAAGTGAATTAGCTTGCCAAGAAAGGCGATTATCAGCTGTTGATAAATATTCAGTCAATGATAGTTCTTGTTTAAATTGAATATTAGCACTAATAAGGTGGTTTGTCAATTTGTTCAATAAAATTTCACGGTATTGTTGATCAAAGTAACCTCCATAAGCAAGGAATGCTGCAGAGAGTAATACATCACCAACAATGGTTCCCATTTGTGTTTCAAATGTCTGACTACCGCTTTCCCATCTTTGTTTTTCTGATGATAAACTACTAAGAAGTTTCAAACTACGATCAACCTTGTCTTTGACTTGTATCATTTCATCTTTGATGTATCCACATTCTTTCATTATAACACCATATTCATCTTTATAGACTGCAATCGTTGCCACTGTTTCCTTGATCATTTTATTAATAGCTTCCAATTTAACTTTTGTTTCTGTTTGTTTCTTTTCTAATTCTGCAACTTCATGGCGTAATGGCGCAACACGATCTAAAATATCTGAATAAATAACTTGTGCCTCTACCCATTTGACCAAAGGTCCACAAGCTTTACTAGCTCTGTTAACCAATTCGTAATTGTATGATTTATTGCTTAAAAATTCATTCCTCATCTTGTCTCTAAGGCTTTTGGTCATGTTTTTTTCTGTATCAAAATTTACAATACTAGAAATGAAATCCTCTCTACGAATAGCTCCTTGAACAGCTTTCCAGCCATCAATCTGAAATCCAAGTAAGGTACAAACAGATGTCATAGCAAGTTTCACAGCTTCTGGTGGATTGGCCATTGAACGAACTTCAGTTAATTGTGTTTTCCTAATACCTTGTACACTTCTTTTGGCTTCTTCCACAGCAGGTTGTGCATTTTCAATATCTCTTAAAGCAATAGCACGTCTTTCCTCGATTTCTTTATTTTGAATTTCAACAGCTGTATGAATTTGTCTCGATTCTTTCTCATTTTTTTCTGCTGTTCTTTGATCCTTAACCATTTTATTCAATTTTTCATTGGCTTCTATATCTTTTATTTTTAATTCTTTTTCTTTGATGCTTAAACTCTTTTTCAATTCTTCCACTTTAACCACCGTATCTCTCAATTTCTCTAAACCAATATTTAAATGGCGTTGTTGTTCTTCCAAATCTTCACGTTTTTCATTAAATAATTTTACATAGTGATTAATAAAGTCCAAGAAATGACGTGGTGTAACATAATTATATTTTCCTTGACGTTTACTCAACTTGGCATTGATTTCATAAAGTGATTGATGAACAAAAACAAATGCATTGACAACAGCATTACGATGTGTTGGTGGTAATGATAATGACCGATATGCAACTGGGAAATTGGATGGAGGAGAGTAACTTGTAAGATCCAAATCTAAACTTTGAGTAAACTCCATACCAACTTGGAAAAAAGCTTGGTCTGACCAATCGCCAAACCAATCAAGCACACAACGATTGAACAAAGCTGGTGATGTTGCAGCTCGTGAAGCTAAACCACCTTCTGGTGGATTCATTGTGAATACGACATGTAGATTTTTCATTACTTGTTGTGTAAACCATTTATACAATTCCTCAGGCGAATCTAACATTAATCCTTCTCTTTGAGATCCTTCTTTACAACCAGTCATCAATGTATTAAATTCATCACCTTCAAACAATCCAGGAACTTCAGCGTTTGCCAGGAGTGTATTCATACGTTCCAAGAAACCAGAATCTAATACATTGGATTCATCCAATATGAAACAGATTTTTTCACCTTTACAACCAGATCGTCTTAAAACTGTTCTCAAATCTTCATCAAAATCTTCACCAGTGTATTTATTATGAGCTTTAATTTGGAATACACTCAAACCATTCATCCAAGCAACAAATCTGGATAATGTTGTTTTACCAGAACCACTTACACCAATTAAGAGCAAATGTCCTTGCATTTGACGGAACACACGATCAATTCTTAAGACATGATCCAACACATCATTGAATAATACAAGTGGAACATCCAATTCTTCTTCGTAAAATACTTTGAGTCTAGCCTTGACATAATCACGCAATTCTTCACGTTCAACTGGGGTATAATATCTAGATAACCAGTTTGAGAATAAAATTGGTCTTGATAAAGCATCAGGTTGATTTAAATTGGGAAAGTGTTTCAAAGCAATCGCATCAATATTTTCATCAGTCCATCTTCTTTCATCTTCGGTAACAAGACGATCTTGGAATAGACGAAGAGCTTCATGTGCCCAAATTCTAATTAACCCTTCAAGAGAAAGAGTTTCCATGGGTTTAATGGCTTCATATATACCTCTCATCCATCTTGTCAATTCACGGGGTGAATAAATATAATGTGCTTGAATATCAGGTGTAAATCTTTTTTGAGACATCAAATAAAATTCTACCATTGAAGAAGTGAGATTTTCAGCATATGCACGGAGTGCTGGAACAACTTTTAACATAGCACGTGAGAAGGTTCCATAAATTTGGTTGAGAGAAATTTCACCAGGATAATCAACCATAATCAAAGGTGCATGTCGAAGGAATCTGTGTGTTAGAGGAACTCGACCAGGATCAGTGGGAGGATTACATGCACCAACAAATTGAATTCTTTCAAGTCTAACCCATGATTTATCAGAGGTTCTCCAATAACCACCACATTCTACCAATTGTCTCAGGAAGGAGATAACACGTTGTGTGCCATATTTATCAGTTGCAGGTAAATTAATTTCATCACAGAAGACTACTATCCAACGACCAATTGAAACAGGAGATAAAATAACACCATTTAATGTTTTTCTATATTCACAATATTGTTCAAAAGTTTTAAGAATTAGCTCAGGAGTTGTGGCGCTTGAGAAATTGAGGCCAACAACTTCCATGTCAGGTAATTTTCTAAGTGCACTGAAAAGAGTCATTGTTTTTCCTGAACCTGGAGGACCGCAAAGCATCAAAGGTTTGTGCTCCGAAAGCCACGAGTATAATACTTCTTCATGTCTTACAGTGTCGATTGTTGGGATAACTATGTCAGCTTCTGCAACCTTATGAGTTTCAATTTCAATTGTAGGGACTTTTCCGGTCCATGATACCCATTCACCATTATTAATTTGTACGTCATAATCTATGATAGAGAATCCATTCTGTAGAGGAGGTAAGTCAATTGTTGCAATTCCACGAATATAATCACCAAATTTTGAACGTAACTCAAGTTTGGCATCACCAGAGAAACTCCAAATAATACCAAGTATCAAACGTTTTACTACATAATTTTCCATATGATCAGGAGTCATTGGGAAATCAGGATGCTGCACATTGTATTCAATAACATTTCTTACTGTTTTGTTTAATAATGAGAATAAAGTTGTTAATACACGCATCCTTGTGAAATCCATAATATGTTCCAATTTTTCTGCATATTCAAGAGCTTTAGTAACCAGTCCATCTTCAGTAAGGTGTTTAGAAAGTATAGCGGCAATAGCACGCTGAGTACCCATGTGTGGTGAATTGTTTTCTTCAGCGCTATCGCTTCTTCTTATAGTTGTTATACCATCCTCTTCATTATCATCCATTGGCATATTTTTAAGAGTTTCCAAATAATTACTGTAGATCATCTTAAGTGTTACAATCTCTTCACTAAACCATACCATACCACAACGACTAACAGTAGCTAATGTTGCATATTTCAAATTTTCTACCTCAAACATAATTCTTACATTTCCTGGTAAACCCAGACGTTCACCATTAGGTAATGTCAATAATCTATTGTCATCCAACACACTGCAAAATAATAATAATAATAATTAATCAATATTGTTGCGTTAAATAAATTTTTCACTTTCATATACTCACCTGTTCAAATTTTCTACCCATTCTGGATCCACATCACCATCAAATATAATCCAATGTCTTTTTACTTTTTCACCACGCACATTATCAATAATTTTTCTCAATATATGAGTAAAAAGACCATCGGTCCATTCACGAGTTGTATGATCCAAATTACCATAAAGAGCATCTTTTGAAACTGCTTTTGGATCAATAACATATGATATTCCTTCAACACCTTCAACACGACCTAATGCTTCCAATAGCACTTTCCAAGCTAATGATTTTCCAGATCCAGATGGGCCCACCATCATCAAACCATGATGAATGTTTTGAATTTGGTAAAGTTGAAGCACTTTTTCCATCCACATTTGGCCATCAAGAAGACGTTTTTCTTCACACACATTTCTAATTTCAGCAGTAAGCTTTTCAAGATCAACGGGTATATAATTAACTCCAGGAAATACATCAGCGAGTAAACTATATATAAATGAAATTAAATTAAATTAAATAATAAAATAATAAACAGAGACATGGTCTGGGATTAAATAAATATTTGCATACCTGGTTAATAATGGAATATCATCTGCAACTAGTTTAGGAACAATAGTTTCTCGAACACTTTGAATTAAAATTTCTTGTTCAGGTATCGGTTCAGAGATCTTTATATTTTCTGAAGGGTCCTTTTCACCAGACTTAATCAATCCTCTTAAAGTTTGAAGGCGTTCACGTTTTAAATTACCAGCACTGACAAGTACACTCTTCAAAGCTCTTAGACCAAAATCGTAATGTGCCTGTGGTGACAATTGTTCAGCACAAAGATTGAATAGTGGTACTACTTTTGATGCTAAAATTTCAGCTGTACGGAAACCTTGAGAATACAACATCACTTGTGCTATAAGTTCACGATCTGGTTTTGTCATGGCAATACTTCTAAATAATTTCTTCAAGTTATCGGGTAAATTAGATCGACCAGCATATCCGGGATTCATTGTAATGAATATACCTAAATAAATATAATTTTTAAAAGGCAAGAAAAAAAAAGTGCAAATTGTGAAATGTAACTGATTTGTTTAAAATCATGATTTACCAGTATTTGAATTGACTCTAAGATTCTTCCCTACAATTTCTACTTCTGCACTAGGATTGTCAACTATTGCTTTCAAGCCAAGTTGAATTGTTTGTACTTGTTGTGATACGGCTGATAAAATTCTTTCTTCCAAACGATTGAATTCATCAAAACATCCCCATGCTCCTACTTGACAAAGACCTACAAAGATACGACCCATAGCTTGGAAATCGAAATTTTCGTCGCAGCAAAATACAAGAACAAATCTACCAAGTTGTACACCAAGCGCTTTGACAGATTCAGTATTATGAGTGACTGTTAAATCACGAAGAAGCATTCTACGATTTCCATCTACAGTAAATCCATAATAACTATCATTTTCTAATGTTTCGATCATGAATTCCCAAGCGTAATCACCAACAGATGAATTATCAAGGATTTGTAACTTGCATTGATTATTATTATTAATAATAATTGATGGAATTTTTTTCATATCACCACCATTAATAAATAAATTGATATCATTATCGTTTGTCATGTTATTATTTTTTGATTCACATAAAGGGCTTCTTTCATCTTTAATTAAATTCAAGTTGTTTACACAGAAACCTGAAAGATTAGCAATACGGGCAACAGATTCTGCAATATGTCTTCTTTCCTTATCAAACAAGAATTCTCTGCCTTCAACATAATAGCTACTTGTGTCAAGAAGACCACCAAGAAGTGGCAAACGAACTGTTTCAATATCATCCATTATCATTTCAGTTGGAATATTTTTTTTGTTTAAAATATTTAATTTTCTCAATAGTTTTTCGAAACAGCTTTGATCATTAAGGAACTTGTTATAAATTTTAATTGCTCCACCATACAATTCATTGTTATACCTATAAAATTCAAGTTTCAATCCGAGAAACTTGCCACACTCTTCTAACTTATTGGTCATGTCATTTTTTACAATTTTCGCAGAAGTGGAAACTGATTTCTCAAATCCACCAGCAATCCATGCACCAATAAGCCATGCAAATGATTTGACTTGTTCATCTGTTGAATCGAAACCAATTACATCATCAAGAACTTTTTTGAAATTACCATTTAATGTCGAGAAATGTACTTCTGAAGGTTTGTACATTCTACAAGCTTTTTGAATTGATTTTTTATGATTCAAAAATTCTTTAATACTAACTTCCCATTTGAATTTACCATTAGTCAGATCAGGAACTTGAGAACAGTAAGAAAAGGCTTGGTTTTGTTTGACTTTTTTATCAATTGAATTATCCAATTCATATTTGAATGTTTTCTGATTAAGTTTAATACAATTCGTAGTTGGATCATGAGAATACCATCTAATTTTGTAACATGGACCATTTGCAGAGTTTTCATGTCGTACTTTTGGTTTCTCGGAAATTACAAGTACTAAAATATGTTCATCATTACATGTAAATGGTTGAGCTGGTGATTTTTTATTAGGAACAATCTTATACATTTGACCAACACCACGAGTTATTGAATGAACGTTTCTAGCTGTACTATCATCTCCCATAAGTTTATCGCCAACCACGATCTCTTCGACGGCTTTCTCAGTGCCATTATACATAAGAAATTTGGTTCCTTTTCCCCAACATTTGCCAGTGCCTAAAAAAAAATACGGAAATTTTTATTTAGATGGAATAAAAAGAGAATAATAAGATAAATAGGAAAAATGACTGTGTTGGAGGTCATACCTCTATTTGGATTTCAAAATAGTACGAAAAAATAAAATATATATTGATGAAAAAATAATCGTTAGTGAATTAATTTTTTAAAAAAAAAAAATAAATATCCAAAAAAAAACTATACATACGCCGCTGTTTAAATAAATAAATAAATATTATATTAAGGTAATATATTTAAAAATAAATTTATGTATGCAATAATTAATAATATAATAATAATTATTATTATTATGTGATTAATAAAGAGAAAAAAATCAACAAAAATAATAATTTGATACTTGCGTCCAAAAGGACTCCCCCCTAATCTTCCTTCCAAAGCTTGCGTTAAAGTAAGGTAACAACGATCGGTAAGAGGTGTTTGTACTAAACGATCAGGTACGCCAAGATATTCATAACCATAATGGAATTGTGCATTTGCCATTTTGATTGTTAAACGTGATAAAGAATCCTCTAAACTGGAATTAAAGTAAAATCTCATTTGATATAACCATTCAAAATCTTTTGCTGATGAAGTTTTATTTTTGATAAGTTGACGAATAAGATCACGTTGATGTACAATTTCAGTAACAAGATGTTCACATTTTTTTCTTTGGGTTTGTGGCAACTCTTGAAGCACTGTATCAGCTAAAACATCTAATGCACGAAGACATAATTGGAGTGAATTGTTTAATGGTGTAGAATCATTACGATCAGTCTGTTCCATTGTTGTTAAAGCTTTTTCAACAGATTGGGTCCAGATTATTTGAGATGCAACAACCACCAGTTGTGTAGGATATTTATCAATCCATTGTAAAAATATTGGAGTATCTAGCTGATCAGCAAGATAAAATTCGCCAAGCTTACTAAAAGCTTCTGTCAACCATTCAGCAAGAGAAACTCTCATTTCTTTTTCAATTAATGTGAGCCAATCATTAATTTTTGGATTTTCTTTAAGTGATATTGGGTGTTTAAACATAACTTTTTCGTCTTCGCGTGAAGCCATACCAGTAATTATTGTGTTATCTTCATTTAACAAAATATTGGAAATACCAGCAAACATTTTCTTGAAGTGTTTTTGGATTCTTAAAACATCTTTACTGTTACCGATAATTTCAAGTAAATCCTCATCCCCAACAAAGTAGAACCGAGGAAATGAAGAACGTTCACGTTCAAGGTATTCACCAAGAGCCTTTTGAATTTTACTCAGTAGATCCGCCAAACGTTCTAATGATTTTTGCACATTTTGAATATTTAATACATCAACTATATATGGTGATTTGTACACTTTCTTCATTACTGTTAAAAATTCTGTATCTATATTTTGGAATCTTTGTGATTCAACAGGCAATAAGTGTTTAATGTCAGCACTACCACTAAAAATACCCTCAAGATAAACCCACTGACGCTGCACATCAATCCAAACATCAAATAAAAGATGAATTCTATTCAATTTATCTTCCCAACTAGCAGCCTCTTCCTCAAATGTTTTATAGTAAGGTGACATTTTCATTGCAGTCAAGGAATTTAAATGTTCACCACATTTAGTGAATAAATCATCCCATCCTTTGATCAAACGACATTTATTTTGATAATTAACTAATTCTAAAATATAACTTGTCCATGTTTCTTTGACCTATATAAATTATAAATCAAAAAAAACAAATAAATCAATCGATCGATCAATCAATCAATCTATAACTTGAAAAATAATAAAAATACAAATGATATAAAAATTAATTACCTGTTTCAAGAATTCTTCAAGAGCCAATTCACCTGAAGCTTGAGTGACAATATCTTTAATAATTTGATCATTCTTTTTAAGATCCAATTCCCAAACATTACCGACAGTCATCTCAGGCAAAAGGAAATGTTTTTCAACGCGCAATGCTTTAAACAATTGCTTCCAATGACGATCTTTCAATGCTTCTGATTTGAGTTCAGAAAGAATTGGATTAACTTTAATGTATTCTTTTAATGTATCCTGAGTAAAATCAAATGCAGCATAAGTTCTGACGCGACTTGGTAAATCTTTGGTTTCAGCGATAAAATGATCCAATTCTTGTCTGATTTTACGTGGAGAAATAGATGTCCACAATTTTTCTCTGAGAACGTTAATCTTCTGCCAAATGTTTGCTAGAGCCTCCCAGACTGTTTTAAGATCTTCAAGCTCTTCAAGAATATTATCAAGTTTGTCTTCAGGCGACAATGCCATATCAAGAGCTTCTTTAGCACGACAAACCATACCATATTCTTCATTAAGTTTAGTAACACGTGTCGTAAAAACTCTAAGAAGATTGATAGCAACATCTGGTTTGATATCTCCTTGAATTGGTTTACTATTGTTCCATTCTACATCAATCTCTTTAATTTTAGTTTCAATGATTTTATCTTCTTTAACTACTTTTTCTCGTAACCCATCTAATGAATAGATAAGAATAATAAAATTGATCAATGCATATATATATCATGTGTGTATACACATGTCATGCTCATCATGTTAAATAAATTACATACCAATTTGTTCTTGAATTGCGCTATTCTTTCTTGTTAAAATTTCATTAAAAGCACTCCATTCGCCTTCAATTTGTTCAACATACAACCAGTCACTAGGAAATTGATATCTTTGTCTAATAAGAGTTTTTTGACCTTTACGAAATAATTCAACATCTTGATCCCATTTTGTAACTTTACGTTTAAGATCTTGTACAAATGTGATCAGGTTAACCGCTTCACCTGTACCGTTGCTTTCCATTCTTTGATTTTCAAGATCACTACGAGCATGAGAAATAGAAGCATTAAAGTCTCGCATAAATTCTCCAAGTTTAGTGCTGAATTTATTGAGAACGTCACGTTGCCATCTCTCATACTTCTCATTAACTCTGTTTTGTGCTTGTTCGTATTTGACAACTATAGGACCAAATGAACATGACGTCTCAGGATTATCAAAAGTTGATCGAGAATTTTGAATTTCTGTAAGGATTTTTTGCCATTTCTCAAGATCGTCGCCAAGATATGAATAAACCTGATTATCTTCCAAGTCCCATAAAGATTGGAACTGAAACCAAATATTAACGTATTCATTCATTTCTTTTAATTTTTCTTCAACAACATCATAAGCTTTTTTAAGAGCAGCTTCAGGAATTTGAGTTAATAAATCAGAATAACTAGTTTCATTGGGAGCAGACCCGTTGACTTGTAAATAAATTTCATATCGAGAACTTTGAATTCTTGGTAAATTACATACGATTGCTAATGGAATTTTTAAAATAATTAAAAAATAAAATTATTAACAGATAAAAAAAAATTTTTTTGAATTAATTAATAAAATAGAATAAAAAAAAATATTATATTTACCAAGCCATTCATGTAATTGGTTATACCAATTAGCTCTAGCTTCTTCAACTGGTGGGTCAAGGTATATTACTTGATTACGAATACGGACCTCGTGAACAGAGATTTCAAGATCAGGTTTCTCGATTAATTTAGTAAGCGGTGTTTTTTCACCATCAATAGAATCACTTTTAGTGGCACGGCGTTTAGGCTTTTTGACAATTTTACCACTTATGGAAACAACTTCGCGTCCTGTTGATTCTCTTGCATTAGGAGAATCATCGCCTGCAATCATGAATTCATTTGTCCATGCAGTAATAGCATTTTCTAAACGTTGAGCCAGAACTGTTTCAATACGTTGATCAAGTTCTGAAACCCAAGATTTAAGATTTGAATAAGATTCTAAGTTAAGTCTGTCAACCTATATTTGTAGCAATCGATTGATTAGAACAATGCATAAATAAAATGTCAAGCCAAACAAAAGATTATTATTATTTTTACTTACAAGCTTTTGGATTTTATCTAGATTTCCTTGGAATTTATTCTTTTTATATGGACATGTTTTTAATTCATCAATATATCTAGAAATATCTTCATAAGTAGTAATCAATGCATCAACTTTATCTTGGAATATTGATACTTGCTTTGCAAATTCTCTGACAAAAATTACGTGTTGATTTTCATGAGAATCCATAGAACCAATGTTAGGATGAAAATGACGATCATAAGTTTCTACAAAATAAAGCCACTCGTGATTTATTCCCTTAGTAATCTGAGCTTGTACATCATTACGATAACTAGCAACTAGCATAATGATTTCAGGGTGCTCTTTGGCCTTTTGTACAGTTTGTGCATAAGTCCTTACTGTTTCCATAAGACTGACGGCAAAAGGATATACACGCTTGGCAACTTTTGCAAGACTGCTAATATTATGTGGAACTTGATGATCCAACCAAAGTAAATTACGAACTTCTTTAAACAATGTAATAATTTGTGGATCAAAATTAACACCAAGTTGTAATTGACCCTGTGCTCGGTTTCTTGTAATCTCAAATAATCTACCACTAATATTCAAATCACGACGATTACTAATATCAGCTTGCCATGCTTCAAAAATCTAAATCATTTGGGAAAAAATTTATATAATTATATTAAATCCTATGAAATCAATAAATAATTAACAATTGGTATTAAAAGAAAAGTTTTTTTTTAATATACCGGTCTAGTATCTAATTTCTTTTTGAAATTATTACTTTTCTTTTGCAATTGTTCACCATCTTTTTGCAATTCCCATCCTTTACCCAAAACATCTTCAACACGTTTCATGTAAGTTTGTAATTGACGATCTATTTGACGGGCCCAAATCATAGCACCAGAAATAGAAGGCAAATCACGAAGTTGAGCCATATGATTTGCTTGTGAGTTGCGATATTGTTCAGTAAATTTAACTTGAAGTTTTGCAATATCATCTTTAACAGATTCCAAAAGCAAAGTTTGATATTCTTGAATTGCACCACGAATCTATGAACATCACACATTGTGAGAATAAATAAAATTAAATTTTTAAATTTCTAAAAAACATTTCAATTTTTTTTTTTTTTTTGACCATTAAAAAAAAATGCTTACCTTTGGTCTAACAAATAATGCATTGAATTTAGAGAAAACTCTAAACATTTCATTGGCATTTTTACAAGTACCAAGTCTATCCCTCAAGCTTGCAATAATTTGATTTTCAACACGAGAGACTCGTTCATTGTAAGCGTTTTCCGCATGCATCCAAATTTCAGTTCCCTCAAGTGAAACATCCAACACATCAATATCCTTGACACTTTCGTACGCTAACCTAACTTCTTCCAATGCGTCAATATTATTATCATCATTCAAATGACTCGCAGCTTCTTCTTCACCTTCAACTAAAATTTTTGCAGTATTCTTTGGTTGTGCCATGACCTTTAAGATTGTTTGATGCAATTGTTCATGTTGTTTCCTAAATCCTCTTACAAAATTAACACGTTCTTGTAATTTATCATGGGCTGGATTAATCTTGATTGGAATAAATTTATCTGATCTTTTTCTTGTGACATCACGAGCCACATTTGTAAATTCTTTAATACATTCTTCCCATGTTTTAAATACTTCTTCTGCTCCGGACATCACTTTTTCAAAATCATCATATCCCATATACATTAAACGACGATTTCCCAACACTTTAAGCAGTTGTTCATTTAAATCACGCGATATTGCTTCTACAAGTGCTAAAGCTTTTTTGATTGGATATGGGCTAAAAAATAATTAAAATTCGACAATAAATTATTGGAGTTTTTCTAATTAAAGTAAAAATAATAGAGAGATGTTTTAAATCATTTTTACTCACGATAATCTTAATTTTTTGTTGAAATGATTAAAAATAATCATTAATGCATCTTTTACTTTTACGATATCAGTTGCTGATAATAATTCATTAAGTGGAAAATCCTTCATAAGTTGATTATACTTGTAAACTAAATAAAAATATTAACATAAAAAATTGTTTTTTAGCTTTGGGTTTTCTAAATTATAATAATAAAATGACAAAAATGATATATATAAAGAACCTTTTTCGGTGGCTTCTTTTAAACCAGTATCAGCTATAAATGATACTGTGGCATGAAAACGTTTTGCGGTTCTCAAAATATCCAAAGTCAATGCTGTAAATTATATATATATATATATAAGAGATATTTAACGTTTAATTACTAAAAGATAATTAATCAAAAAAAGAAATGTATATATTGCGACATACAAATTTGATCACTTTTCAATTGTTCGTCAACGCCTGCCAAAGCAGTTTCCATGCTCAACCAAAAATTAATTTCTTGTATGGCAGTGCCACTGGCAGGATCGCGAGATAATTTTGTGACCTTTTGAATTTCTTTAATCCAGCCATTAACATCAGCTTGGAGTTTGTTTAGAAAACTAGAGTCACCCAAAAGTTGTGGATCAATTACATCTACAGTAACACGTTTTGCTTCTTGTTTGCACTAAAAAATCAATAAAAAGCTTAACATAGTTATATTTATATAAAAAAAGCATTATTTAAATTGGTTATTTTATTTTTATAATTACTTTTTCGACAGCTCTTTGTACAATATGATGGATGTTTAATGAAATGTCTGGTATGTCGACATTTTGCTGTAAGTGAAGGAGAGATAATTCCAATTCTGCAATTTTCTTTTTTGCCATTGGAATTCCCATTTTAGAATCATCATGTTTCTTGCTAGTGGCGTTTGCTTCTGCATTAACACCTTTTGCACTAATAAAAGCATCAAAATAAGGAGCAACAGCCAAATGAATACAAGAATGTAATGCCTCGTATGGATTTACGCCAACTGATCCGGATTCATTTGAGGCAGGACCAGGTATGTTTATGATTTGTATTTGTGATTGAATTGGTCTTGTAGAATCCAAAGTCTGTACATGTTTTATGACTGCAATTGATGCCACATGATTAGAATTGTATGATATTTCTTGTGATAGTTGATAAGAATACGATATTATTGATTGATCATCTGCTTAAAATTTTAATTGAATCATTATGGTTAATATAACTAATTACATAGTGACGGAAAATGTCAAGGTAATATAAGACTATTCTCCCATTTTTCAATAAAAAAATAATACCTTCATCCTTCTTTTCCTCTTTTTCTTTTATGACATATATGGCATTAATTTGGGGGTCATTAGCATATTTTCTAAGTTTTTCGATTGTTTCTGATACATTCCATAATGAATTTTTTAAATCTTGCTCCTCGGCTCCAAGAACTATAGGTAAAAGTTTATTAAGGTAATCTTGTAAAAGTATAGGTTCGAAAGTTGGTGGAGTTATAGCAGGTCCGGTAGGATTTTGAGAAACTTCTCCTACAGTTGCTACTGAATCGTCTTCCATTAATTTTTTTTTTACAAAAAAATTTTATTGAATTAAATTATTAAAATTATTAAAAATTAAAAATTATTTTAAAAACACATAATATATATAATAATTAATATTAATGTGGTGGGTATCAAGAAATTAGAATTTGTTCCCCTTATAAATAAATTATTCTAATTAATGATTACGCAATGAATGATAAATCTATCTTGATAATAATAAAGTTTGTATGACTAAATACTTAATTCTGAATGTGTTTTTTTTTATTTTATTTTTCAGCCAAAAAAAAATAGACCTGATCACGTGATAGCGTAATATAATAATAATAATAAATAAATTTACTTTTTTAAACAAAGTTGATATTGTCGTATTGTTAATCTTTTTAGTATATACACATATGGCAAATAAACTTTGGTGGGGGAAGAGTGACTTTTGTAATTGGTTAATAAAGTTCATAGAGCCACGCGACTGTGGTAATCGGGACACGTCGTGAGTGAATGGATTGAAAAAGAATTGATTTTCTATATAAATTTTTTCGTTATGCAATCATTTATTGAACATATGCAGTTCAATGCATATCAATATGTAATAAATAATAATATTTAAAAGGTTAAGGCTAAAAATTGATTTTCAATTAGTTATTTTTATAAGAAACCCTTTCTAATATTTTCTCGAGAATTTTAAGCATTGAGTGATGATAAAAAGATTTTTTGTGTTCTCATGATTTTCCTAGTTTTATTATAGTTATCATTATTAACCTTCAATAATAATGGATGGGACCTGCTTACCATCTTCTATTGAAATATAATTTGGTGTAATTTAACGGCAAACTTTATTGAGTAATCAATCAATCAAAATAATATACTTTTGTTGTTGTTTGACAAAAATAAAAAAATAATTGACAAATAATAAAAAAAAAAAAATCAATAAGCAGAAGTTGTATTACAATTATCACATGTCGAATTAGTAGTCAATTTGAGTCTGTCCAACATTGCACAAAAAAAACTTTTTGAACTATGTATATGCACTGAACTTTATTTTGAAGAAGGAAGGAGATTTCATAAATTGTTAGTTGGTAATAATAAACAGCATTTGATTTTGTAATTTTTGTAATTGTTGAAGGATCCTATCTCTTCCATTTAATCAAACTTTTTGCTAATTGATTTTAATTTATCAAGTATTTTACTAAAATCTGCAACGTATCTATTACTATATCGGGTATAACAAAAAACGTGTTGGTACGCGTCATCAGCCACATGTAACATTAATAAAATAAAAAATACCTCAAAAAAAAAAAAACAAATTTATTCAAAATGTCTAATGTTATTTCATCCTTGGAAAATGTCAAAACATTATTAAATGATTTTATCAATTCTAACAATAATGAGGTTTTACCATTTAAGAATATCAGCAAGGTTATAAATGATTTAACGGGACTGTTAATTGAATCAGATTTTTATGATGTAGAAATTAGAGTTGGAGTTGATCAAGATGTCAAGACTTTTAAAGCTCATTCTACTATTTTGAAGGCAAGATCTTTATATTTTAAAACAGCATTATCACATAATTGGATGAACAAAACAGAAAATGGTATTATTTTGTTTGAGAAAGAAAATATTTCTCCAAAAATATTTGAAATTCTTTTAATGTAAGATTAAATTAACCTGATCTGATTTGATTCGATTCAGATTTGATGGGTTAATGATTTTGTTCTTTTTTTTCTTAAGATATATTTATAATGGAATAATTAATACAGATAATCTGGATCTAAATGAGATTATTGAACTTCTTGAAGCGTGTGATGAGTTGAATTTTAATGATTTAATTGATGATTTACAAAAATTTTTAATTAAAGAAAAAAAAGAATGGATTCAACTGAATATAGTTGATCTTTATAATATTTCAACGAGACACCAATCATATAATTTGCTTCAAGATTATTTTGCTAAAAATCCAGAGCTATTTTTCAAAATACATGATTTCAAATTAATTGAAAAACCAATGCTTAAATGCATTTTAGAAAATGAATATTTGGTATTAGATGAAATTGAAATTTGGAATTATATCGTTAAATGGGGGATAGGACAAAATTCAAAGTTGAAAAAATCCATTTCAAAGTGGAGCAAGGACGATTTCAAATATTTCAAAACTTTATTAGATGATTTTATTCCATTTATTAAATTCAATGAAATTACATCCAAAGATTTTTATCTAAAAATCTCTCAGTTTAAAAACATCTTTGATAAAAAGTTTTATAAAGAACTTCTCAAAAGTTATCTTACCGATGAATGGGAACCAAGTCTATTGGTTCAAAATAATCATAGGACCGGAGGAAAATTAATAAATTCAGAAATAAAAGCTTTAATCTCTAGCTGGATCGACAAAAAAAATGATAGTAATAGATATAATAAAGATGATCTCCCTTATGATTTTGAATTAATTTTACGCGCAACAAAACATGGGTTTGACAAATCAGATTTTATGGATAAATGTTATGATATCCAACAAACCGTGGCCGTCTTCAAAATTAAAGAAACGGACGAAATAATTGGTGGCTATAATCCGGTCACTTGGAATAAGAAAAATGCAAAAAGCGACATGTATTGGATCCAAACAAATGAAAGTTTTATTTTCAAAATTGATAAAAACCAAGTTAATAATTCACTGTTAAGCAGAGTCGTAGATTCCAAGTATGCAATACATAATCACGGAGATGCTTATAATCATACTGTAGCTAATATAAAATTCGATCAAAAATTCATTAATTTTAACGATTTAAAGGTATATCATAGTACAACGAATGAACCTTATTGTTATTATAGGATTAATAATTATCAAAATGATTTGAATCTTAAAAATCGTCGCAGTAAAGGTGTTCATTTGTTAGAAGACTATGAAGTGTATAAGATAATTAAAAAAATTGAAAATTGAAACAATAAACAACATAACCTTGTCTATGTCTATACACAATTCAATTCATTCACGATTTTTTAAGAGAAAAATTTGTTTCTTTTTTTTTATTGATGCAAGAAAGAAATAAAATAAAATAATGATTATTATCAATAATAACGATAATGATAATATTTGTGGACAATAATGTTTAATAAGCAAACTTTTAACAATTCCTATTAATTTATAATAATCATTTAATAATCATTTTTGTAAAGTCAATCCAATTCACTCATCCAAACACTTGTAAGATGATGATGATACTACCTTTGTGTTCAAAATTTATTTGTCAGTATTTTGGTAATACTTCATTTTGGATAATTCAATCCTTAACCTTTTTGTCATATGAGGGGGGTTCATGGTCCAATTGACGTTTTTTGGCCTTCTTACCATTTTCGAGAACTGGTTGACGAACTATGATAAAATATGGATATGAATATTTATAACCTAATATAATTAACAAATTTTATATAATATCTACTAACCGTTTCTAGAAGCTTCTCTTCTCTGTAAGAATTCTTCTTTTTTTTTTTGTTCGTCATTTTTTACAACAATTTTTCTTTTAGCCACGGGTTTTTTACCAACAGCTTTAGTTGTAGTTCTAGTAATAGTGATTCTTTGTTTTTTTGGTGAGGTGGAAGTGGATTCAATAGGTTCGGTTTTTTTTCGTTTTGTTGGTCTTACTGCAGCAACATGATCAACCGAATTTACGTTATTAGCGGAAGTATTGGTGGTGGTGGTGGTGGTGGTGGCGGTGATGTTATTTTGATGAATATTGTTAGTCTTTTTGTTGAATTGGGCTAATTTGTGTAGATCTTCTTGAATAACAACGCTATATAATTCAGTGAATTTATTTTCAATATCGACCATTGTAACTGGCCTCGAGGAGAAAGGGTCAATATTTGCTATTGCTATATTATTGTCAAAAATCTTATTGTTATTGTTATATCCATTTTCGTCATTATTATCAGCTGTATTGGTGTTTTCAGCATCATTATCATTAGTTCCAATCAATTTTGATGATGATTCGCCTGTGTTTGGCAATGATGTTTGAGCGGTTTCGATTTCTTTGATCTTTTCACCCAATGACAAATACTCTTTAGCATCTATTGTTAATAGTTTTTCTGCAGGCTCTGTTTCTTTAACCGTTTCGCCTAAGGTCAGGTATTCTTCAGCAACCTCGTTAAGTTCAATTTCTGAATAATAAATATAATATTTAATATTTAATTTGATTGGATTCACATAAGAATATAATCATTAAACACAATTAATTTACCGTTTGCAATATCATCATTATAATTATTATGTGTTGTTGTTGTTGTTGCAGCCGTGGTTGGTAGCGTTGATGATGAAGAAAATGAAGAATACGCTGATGATGGCGTGTCATATTTTGAAGCTTCTTCAGAACTTTGTTGTTGTTGCAGTTCGCAATACCGTTTAAAACTCCTTTGTAGAATATCAGAGGCTATATTTTTTTTTTATAATAATTAATAATTTAATTTCTTCATTATTAAATCAGCAATAATATAAATCTAAGCAATTATGTTACCATTATAATCTCCCTCCTCAATACCAATACCAATTTGTCTCATTGTTCGATGCAACAACATTTCTTTTAATGTTTCATTCTATTATTCAAAACATGTTAATAAATTTTCTGAAATATATTTTTTTTTATTAAAAAATTTATTTATGACTAATGGATTTATTACTTTTAGATTTGCCTTATAACCAAATTTTTTACAATGCGCTTGTAATTCTTTTCTGTCCATAGCTTCAATCATCTTCGGATCCAAGATTTTGTCCGTGATTTCAACTTTATTGGATTGCATTATTTAATTCTTTTATCAAAAAAAAAAAAAAAAAGTAAATGATAAAATGATAATTATAAATCAACTGATTATGTAATTCGCGTCGCCTAGAAATATACAAGCACATTTCTATGGAACGAATTAAATTCGACACACGTGATTGTGATGAGATTGTTCGAAGATTATTAACAATTTATTTAGTTGTGAAGCTAGATAGATGGTAGTTGGTCCTTGCGATACAAATGTATTTACAAAAGCAACCTGATTACCAGATCAGTATAGTGAAACTTCAAATGATTGATTTATATGGATCTTGTGACATCTAATAATATAATTTTTCCGGTTTATTTTTACTAAATGGGACTAGTGCTTGCTTGTATTTTCATCAAAGAAAAATTGTTAATGAAAAAATAAAAGATATTATATAAAATAGGGGCAGACTTTTGTTTTGCCAGTGTGTCTTTATTAAGGTTTCTGGTCGAAACTACCTCCCTTAGTAGCCGAAATTGCCGAAATGCTTTGGGCAAAAATTTATTTTTTATAGGCCCAGGCTTATAGAAGTTTGCCTAAACTAAATTGTGATGATGCCGAAACTCAGAAAAAAAAGGTTATAGAAACTAATAATTCGAAACTCGATTACTTTGCCGAAACTTAATCACTGTGCCGGAACTCAATCACTGTGCCGAAACTATAATTTGTTTCCGAAACTTCAATTTTTGTTGAAACTATTTTATAATGATTAGACATTTTCTTTTGAAACAAATTAATTATTGTTGAAATACAATAAATTTTATTATTATTGTAAAAAATTTAATATTATTATTATGTAGAAGGTGTTATAATTCTTTGGTTACATTAGTGGTAAATTTGGTGAGGTGTTTGCTTTGGCAAATTTTGGTGTTGTTGGAAAATGTACTAGTTGAATACCATATTCTGGATCATTATCTTTTTAATCTAAGTCTATGATTTCCAAATGTGAAAATCTTTATTAGCTATGTAAACACTCTTATTATTCCCACAAAGCAAACAATGAATAGATTAGGGAATTACCCAAAGAATGCATTTGCTTAGCTTTATTGATAATATATTGTACAAATCCTGTTATCTTGCTTGATGATAAAAAATGAGTGCATCCAAGCAATGTTTTTTTAAAAAATAGAGAATGGAGAAAATTTACTGACTCTTACTTTAGTGAGGAAATTGACTTAGCTCATGTTACCTTTTTTGCAGCAGTAAATTATAATTACAAAATAGAAAGGAGCAATCAACCTGAGAGAATCGTAAGGCTATAACCCATAAGGAAAAAATGCAAATCTTGCAACTCAAAAAAGAACAAATGCAACTAAAATAGAAGAAGTTCTCTCAGATAATTTTTGATAAATACTTGAATTCAAGAAAAATGGATGCACAAACTAGAACAAGCTCTAACAAAATCATTGGGGATCATATTTATGTTAAACAAACCAGCAAGCAAGAATTTCAAGACAATTAGCAGAAATGAATATAGATAATGTTCTGTCATTTTAAAGACTTTACTTATTTGCAGGTCAAGGAAAATAAAGAACTAAGTACAAGTAAATTTGATTGATTTCAAATAAATATAATCACAATTTATTGAAAGAAAAATTAGAAGCAGAAGAATTCCTATGCCTGCTTTAAAAATATTGAAAAAATTGGCAAAAATCAAGCCTAAGAAAAGCTCTACTCAAAATTTTTGATGAAAAGCAAATACTGAACTATTTAATAAGGAGGTGAGTCTGTCAAAATTTACTCATTTGGTCACTACTGCTACTCACAAAATAGGGAAGCTATCTGATTCTTTGCCTTACCATTTAGATTGAATTAATGCTGATACTGTAACCAAGAACTTTCTTTGGTATTGTTACTGGAATTAGAATTCAACACTGATTCATTGACTGAAACATTCTAATTCCAAATTTTTTTATTTTTTTATTTAGTACATAATAATATATGGGGCATGCTGCAACAAAACCAGACAAAGTGATCATTGGTATTACCAAGAATTTCAGGGGTCAATAATGTTTGTCACAATTATGTTACCAATGTAATGTTGTTTGTTGTCTCTAGATAAAAATAGTTGTTATGAAGTTAATTTACATTAGGTCTACCATGGAACCCAAGAATTATAGCACCATTAGAAGTATTATGAAGAAAGAACAAGATGAAAAAATTGCTCCATATGTTTTTAAAATAAATGATACTCAGACACTTGAAGCTTATCTAAAAAAAGAAAGGATTACCTATGAAAAGAAAAATAATAAGTGTTAGAAAAAGAAAACATCATGATGGTGCATTATTATCCAACAAAAAGTCAAGATCTCTAGAAGAAAAATAATTATCTTTTCCTTTTTGGCATTTTCTCAATAAGTAACTAGATTTCTAAAACCAATACTAATGTTCCACCAACCATGATTTAAAGGGTTCTCTTTCATGATTGAACACACTGATTTTTTTTTATTTTCTTTTTTAATTCTGTTATTTCACCATTTTTATTTTCCAAATAGTTATTCCATTCGACATATCTGTTCTTTCTTGAAATTTAATAGAAGGACCTTTATTAATTATTCAAAGATATAAATTAAATTAGAAATTTGTATTGTAATTTATTGTGTACTTAATTTTTACTATATTCTAATAAAGATTATATGGGAGAATATTGCTTTATAAAAAAAAATAGTTCTTCCATTTCCAAAATTTTATTATTAAGATCCATAATAATTGTTGAAATTTTGATTTGATTGTTGCTAGTTCACCTTTATTCTTTGAAGTTGCCTAAAATACCAGATTCATCATTATCATAATGTCAAAGCCTTTTATTTTTTTTTCATCATTAAAGTTGCTAAATTGAAAAAATTCTCATAAAAATCGTCAATAACAACTATTTGATTATGTTTTTCACATAATAAAAAATCTTCTAAAGAATTAATTAATGGAGATAATTCAAGGAAATACTTAACTAATTCAATTATCTTTTCAACTGCAGTATGTGATTCCAAGTTCGTGAGTCGGTTTTACATGGAACTAATTGTCTCTCTGGATATTTATCAGCCATGTGTTTAAACAAACATGTTAAATTTTTAGCTGGTTGTCTTGTATTTGTCATGTTATTTGAGTAATTTTGGTAATTATGCAAAAAAAAATTAAAATAATAATTAATCGTAAATTCAGACTGAAATATTACCCTACAAAAAATTAATTTCCATTTTCCAAAGGTTGCAAAGGTTGAACGATTTGACGATCTGACAGTGTACAACCCGTTACGCGATCATTTTTTTTTTATTTATTTTTAGAAAATAGAAATTATTTGCATTTGGTATATTATTATTCAATTTAATGAATTTAATTATCAGATCATTTGGAATAAATTAAATATTAACAAAATATATTTATATTGG